CTGGGCCTCCTGTGGCCTCCTGAACCCCACCTGGGGCTTCCTGAAGCCTCTTGGGGCTCCCAGGAGGGAGTATCTAACCTGTGGCCGTTTGGGCTCCTCAAAATGGAGGGGGGGGCACAAGAGCAGGAAAAATCAACGAATCGACGCCGGAGGTGTATTAACTTGACACGTTCTGATAGCGGGCCCCCTGGGGCCTCCTAGGAGCTTCCTGGGAATCTCCTGGGGACCCCTGGGGCCTGTCCTGGGCGTCCTGCGGCCTCCTGGAGCTCTCTGGGGCCTCCTGGGGCTCCCAGGGTCCCAGGGAGGATATGTAACATGTGGTCTTCTGGGCCCCAAGGCTGGACCACCTCTTGCGCGGCATCTGGGAGCTCAGAGTTGCGAGAATGTCTTGTGCGAAACAGGCCGGACCACCTTGCACACAGCATCTCAGAGCTCAGAGTTGCGAGGATGTCTCAGGCAAGACGGGCCAGACCACCTCGCGCAGGGCATCTCAGAGCTCAGAAGTTCGAGGATGTCTCAGGCGGGCTCCCAGGGTCCCAGGGAGGATATGTAACATGTGGTTTTCTGGGCCCCCAGGCTGGACCACCTCTTGCACGGCATCTGGGAGCTCAGAGTTGCGAGAATGTCTTATGCGAAATAGGCCGGACCACCTTGCGCACGGAATCTCAGAGCTCAGAGATGCGAGGATGTCTCAGGCGAGACGGGCCGGGCCACCTCGCGCACGGCATCTCAGAGCTCAGAAGTTCGAGAATGTCTTGTGCGAAACGGGCCGGACCACCTTGCGCACGGCATCTCAGAGCTCAGAGTTGCGAGGATGTCTCAGGCGAGATGGGCCGGACCACCTCGCGCAGGGCATCTCGGAGCCCAGAGTTGCGAGGATGTCTCAGGCGAAACGGGCTGGACCACCTCGCGCGCGGCATCTCGGACCCCAGAGTTGCGACGATGTCTCGGGCGAAACGTGCTGCGAGTAAGTCTCAGGCGAAACGGGCCGGACCACCTCGAGCGCGGCGTCTCAGAGGTCCGAGTTGCGTGGGCCTCCTGTGGCCTCCTGGACCCCACCTGGGGCTTTCTGAAGCCTCTTGGGGCTCCCAGGGGGATATCTAACATGTGGCCGTCGGGGCCCCCCAAAACTGGGGGGAGGGGCCACAAGAGCAGGAAAACTCAACGAATCGACACCGGAGGTGTATTAACTTGACACGTTCTGATAGGGGGCCTCCTGGGAGCCTCCTGGGAATCTCCTGCTCCCCCTGGGGCCTGTCCTGGGCGTCCTGCGGCTTCCTGGAGCTCTCTGGGGCCTCCTGGGGCTCCCAGGGTCCCAGGGAGGATATGTAACATGTGGTCTTCTGGGCCCCCAGGCTGGACCACCTCTTGCGCGGCATCTGGGAGCTCAGAGTTGCGAGAATGTCTTGTGCGAAACGGGCCGGACCACCTTGCGCACGGCATCTCAGAGCTCAGAGATTGCGAGGATGTCTCAGGCGAAACGGGCCGGTGTCTCGGGCGAAACGTGCTGCGAGGAAGTCTCAGGCGAAACGGGCCGGACCACCTCGAGCGCGGCGTCTCAGAGCTCCGAGTTGCGGGGGCCTCCTGGTGCCTCCTGGGGCCTCCTGGGGACCTCCTGGGGACCTCCTGGGGCTTCCTCCTGGGCCTCCTGTGGCCTCCTGAACTCCACCTGAGGTTTCCTGAAGCCTCTTGGGGCTCCCAGGGGGGAATATCTAACCTGTGGCCGTTTGGGCCCCTCAAAATGGAGGGGGGGCCACAAGAGCAGGAAAAATCAACGAATCGACGCTGGATGTGTATTAACTTGACACGTTCTGATAGCGGGCCTCCTGGGACCTCGTGGGAGCTTCCTTGGAATCTCCTGGGGACCCCTGGGGCCTGTCCTGGGCGTCCTGCGGCTTCCTGGAGCTCTCTGGGGCCTCCTGGGGCTCCCAGGGTCCTAGGGAGGATATGTAACATGTGGTCTTCTGGGCCCCCAGGCTGGACCACCTCTTGCGCGGCATCTGGGAGCTCAGAGTTGCGAGAATGTCTTGTGCGAAACAGCGCACAGCATCTCAGAGCTCAGAGTTGCGAGGATGTCTCAGGCGAGACGGGCCGGACCACCTCGCGCAGGGCATCTCAGAGCTCAGAAGTTCGAGGATGTCTCAGGCGGGCTCCCAGGGTCCCAGGGTGTAACATGTGGTTTTCTGGGCCCCCAGGCTGGACCACCTCTTGCGCGGCATCTGGGAGCTCAGAGTTGCGAGAATGTCTTATGCGAAACAGGCCGGACCACCTTGCACACGGAATCTCAGAGCTCAGAGATGCGAGGATGTCTCAGGCGAGACGGGCCGGGCCACCTCGCGCACGGCATCTCAGAGCTCAGAAGTTCGAGGATGTCTCAGGCGAAACGGGCCGGACCACCTCTCGCGCGGCATCTCCGAGGTCAGAGTTTCGACGATGTCTCAGGCGAAACGGGCCGGACCACCTCGCGCAAGGCATCTTAGAGCTCAGAGTTGCGAGGATGTCTCAGGCGGAACGGCCCGAACCACCTCTCGCGCGGCGTCCCGGAGCGCAACTTTTCAAGGATGTCTCAGGCGAAACGGTCAATCCCAGCCAACTCAGAAACGAGAGTTGTGAGGATGTCTCAAGTGAAACGGCCCGGACCATCAAATTTTTGTGAGGATGTCTCTGCTCCGACTCTCCTCGGCCAGAGTTAGCTTCTATCACAACAGCACCCCGTTCAGCAAGCTGTTTGGGGGGAAAAAAAACTTGCACCACATAGGTTCTCCTTTCTACAAAGAAATGGGTTTTACCACCCCCCACCCCCCGGACTTATCCACTCCCGGGAACCCATGCAAAGCACATGATTCCGAGCCAATGTCCATCTTACTTGTGAATTAATTCATATTATCCCAGCCAGGCCGATATCGGTCCCCCTTCGTTTTCCTTGCAAAAAATACAACACGGTGACATGATCTGTTACGACGTAACATGTTTCACGAAGCCCTTTGTAAGAAAATATCATACCGGGCACTCGCGCGCGGCCGCTGCGCGCGCATGTCGAAGTCCTTCCAAGCACACCGTGTGTTCAACAAATTTAACATCCCGACTCAAGAAAACCTATGAAAACATACGACTTTCTCACACAACAATTCTGAAAAATCTGCCCGCGCGCTCTTGCCGAATCCTTCAAAAACTTTCTGTGTTTTTGTCAACATTCCTGTTCGATCGGGTTTTGTTGGGCAACTTTTGCGCGCCCGTCGATCTCATTCAACAGCGGTCGCGCGCCTGCCAGGGCCACATTCCCTTGTGAAAAATCCATGCGTTGCACATGCGCGCGGCCGCCGCGCGCGCGGGTTGAAATTCTTCCAAACACATTGTGGTTTCAACTGTTTCAAGACCGAGCTTATTGAAATCACACGAATCGTACCATACATCCTCGGAACAAACAGCAAACAAATCAAAAAAAATGCCCGCGCGCTTTCCGAATCCTAAAATGCGAATGTTGTGTCAACATTTCTGCCATGCGAGCAGCTTATGCGCTCGCGTCGAACGCTTTCAACATCGGTCGTGCGCCTGCCAGGGCCACAATCCCATTGAAAAAAAACCATGCGGGGCACATGCGCGTGGCGTCGTCGGCGTCGTCGGCGTCGGCGTCGTCGTCGTCGGCGTCGTCGTCGTCGGCGGCGTCGTCGTCGGCGTCGTCATCGTCGTCGGCGTCGTCGTCGTCGTCGTCGGTGTCGTCGTGGTCGTCGTTGTCGTTGTTGTCGTCGTCGTCGAAGTCGTCGGAGTCGTCGTCGGTGTCGTCGTCGGCGTCGTCGTCGTCGTTGTCGCTGTCGTTGTCGGCGCCAGTGTCGTTGCCAAGTGCCATTTGGTACTCACCGTCACGGTCTTAAGAGGTATTGTGGCCAAGTTGCGGCTGGGAGGGCGGGACGTTTGCACGAGCAGTGGAGAGGACCCTTGTGAATTGCACCACTTAGGCTGCACCACGTAGCTTGCACAACATATATTGAATCGCGGTGATCGTTGAACATGGGTTGCACAACATATGTTGCACCACCCGTGGTGCACACCATATATTGCAGGCCACATATTGCCCCGCATAGATTGCATCACTGAGGCTGCACCGCGTAGCTCGTACAGCATACATAGAACCACATGTAGTGCACCACATAGACTGCACAGCAAATATTGCACCACTTACATTGCACAATCGATGTGCACTATATATGTGTTTTATATGTGTATAGAGTGCGTCACAACCATTGCACAGCATAGATTTGCACAACCTGGAGTGCACCGCTTCTGGTGCACAACATACATCTATGTATATATAGATGAGTCGAAGCACACTGGGGTCCACGCTGGCTAACATGTGAACTTCATGGGTGAACTTCATGGTGTCCAGCGAATGAATGTTGATGTTCATTTGAATGTGTTCAATCCTTTGCCCCAAACTCCACAAGCTACAAATCTGAGGCCACAGCCTGCACGCCAAGCCCTGATGGGAACGAGCGGGTTCCAACGTAGGGTACTCGCGACTCAGGCGCTCGTCCCGTCTAGTCCTCTCCTGTGTTCGTTCTGTCTGTCTGCCTGTCATTAATTTCTCTCTTTTTCTCTCTGTGCCTTTCTCCTCATCTCACTCTTTACTTACTCCCTCTCTTTGTTTGCTCATTTATTGTGTTGTGTCCCTGTTTCTCTCTCTCTCTCTCTCTCTTCCCCCCCTCTCTCTCTCTGTCTCCCTCTCCCTCCGTCTCCCTTTTTCGCTCTCTCTCTCTCTCTCTCTCTTTTTTCCCTCGCTCTCACTATCTCTCTTCCCCCTCTCCTTCTTCCTCATCATCCCCTTCCTCTTCATGGTCCATGCTCTCGTCCCTTTCTCATTTGTCCCCACGCGCGGGCCTTGCCACTTCTTGAGTCTCAAGTATTGAGGCTCTCTCCTCTCTCTTTCCTCCTCCCCTCTCCTTTTCTTACTCCTTTGGGAGGTCCCCACCCGCTTCTTCCTCCTTCTCCCATCCTACTGAGAGGTGACCGCCGGGCCGGGCGGCATCGTGGAGCTGGCGAGGGCCTCTGTCAAAGTGCGCCGCCGCCAGTGCTGTCTGGTACTTGACCCTCACATGGAGCAGGGTAGGGGCATTGGCAGAGGGAGAGGGGTGAAGGGTCGTCGTCGTCGTCAGCGTCGTC